GCGTTTGACAAGTGATGTGGAGGGAGCCGGGTTGAGGTTACCCCAGCATCCCTGCGTCTGTGTAGTGGATGTCTAGGCGGTGTGTTCCTCCGTTGGCTCGGGCAGGTCCGTGTTTTATAAACGCGCTGTCGGGAATTACGTGTGATTCTTCTTTGCAAAGGAGCTGCCATGACGTTAGTTTTTCCAAGCGGCGGCGAAGTTGTCATCTCGCTGTAAAAACGCTGCAGTTGCCAAACAAAGTTGGTACAAAGAACGGTAATGCACCCACACTGAAGTTTGCTTCAAATAGTTTTTCGCAACTTGTGTTGCCCTCCTCTGTGGAAGGTTATTAGCGCCACAAGTTTCATAAGATGGCACTCAGAGGCCTAGTAGCTAATGTATATGGATATTTTTTTCTTCGCTTTTGGTGAGAAAGCATGGCGTATGCTTCAGAAGATAGTTTTTTAAGTTACTGCTTGTTAATTCCCAGCACATGCCTGGAAGTAATATAAGTACTGTTGCTCAAGAGGTCACTTTCCCACCCCCCCGGCTATGAGTGGTGATCACCTCAACAGACTTGACCAAAAGGAGCATATGCTTGTGCTGGGTCTCCAGCCACTTCATAACTTAAATTCCACTTTCACTGTCAGTTCACAGGAAGATGTTGGCCATCTGTTGGGTACTAATCCATATTGAAATGTAGACAGCAGCAGTTACTTTACTGTTGTGATCCGACATCAAATCATCTCAGAAGTGTATATTCAGCCAATGCTTGGCTGTTGCTAGCATTGCAGCCTGAAGACAGAGGGCTTTCAACTTCTTCAAAAGTATTTTTACAGTCTGGAAACTATTACTGATAGCAGTGCATGATCCATTATTTTGCAAACACACTTGACTTTAAGTTGAATTGAATTAGAAATACGTTCTTAAAAAAAAAGTCTAACTGTACAGTACCATGCTTCAGCACTCCTGTAAATACAATGCTGTGTATCTAAGGTGCCTTTCAGGTGCATTGTCTTTAGGATTTAAGCCTTCTGTCAATTTTCCTGTAAACTGTCTTATTTTCCCTCAATAAATAGTATGTCTGATTTTCCTCACAGATGTACAGCCAAGGGGTTGAGTTAGCCTGCCAAGAAGAAAGAGAGTCCGTGAAGCACTCTGTAGAATGCACGTGGAACCTAGCAGAAGCCCAGCAAAAACTTGATAGCTTAGCACTGCATAATTCAGAATCCCGTGATCAGGAATCTGCTCAAGCAAAGACTGAAGCTGCAGAATTGAGATGGAGGGAGGAAGAGTGGAGAAGAAAAGAAGAAGCACTAAACCAGAGGGAAAGACAGAACCTATGGAACACAGATCCTGTTAGTAATGAGGTATTTAATAAGGTACGACCCATACCAGTGTGCATGACAATAAGCCTTAGCCTTTTTTTCATTCCACTTGTTACTAGTCTTGAGTGTCTTTTTTGTCCAGTACAGCAGAAAATTACAGTATGTATTAAAGGGGTTGGGTGGGGTTTTTCTTGCTTTACCTCATGAGAGCATGCTACACTCGTGCTAGAAATGTGGATGATGTTTCTCTACCAGAAGTGCAGATCAGAACTAGGGTATCTAGGTGGTAGACAGGAGCCAGCAATGGGTGCTTACAGCCTGCACTCCTGGGCTGAATCAAAAGCAGCATAGCCAGCAGGTTGTGGTTGGTAATTCTACCCCTCTGCTCTGGTGGGGCCCCACCTCCAGTGCTGGGGCCCAGCTCTGGGGACCTCAGTACAAGAAAGTCATGGGCCTGTCGGAGCAGGTCCAGAGGGGGGCCACAGAAATGGTCAGAGCAACGGAGCACCTCTCCTGTGAGGATGGACTGAGAGAGTTGAGGCTGTTCAGCCTGGAGAAGAGAAGGTACTGGAGAGACCTTATTACAGTCTTTCAACACTTACAGGAGACTTGAAAGATGGGGAGAGATTTTTTGGCTTTTTATCATGCCTTGTAGTGATAGGACAGGGGCAGTGGTATCAAACTGAAAAAGGGCAGGTTTGGATTGGATGTAATGAAGAATTTTTGTATTATGAGGGTGGTGAGAAACTGGAGCAGGTTGCCCAAAGAGGTAGGGGGCAACCCGTCCCTGGAAGCAGTAGAGATCACATTGGATGGGGCTTCGAGCAACCTGATAACAGTGAGATATCCCTGCCCATGGCAGCAAAGGCTTGAACTACATGGTCTTTAAAATGTCCCTTCCAACTCCTACCACTCTGATTCTGTGTAGCCCAAGTGTTGTCAAATGCACTGACCAGTAGTTTCTTCACATGAAGAGTGAATTTCTGTACTGTGCCAATTCTTAAAAAGCGAAATTGTTAGTTTACCTCTAATGAGGACTACTGTAACACAGATTACTTGTCACATATTTTTTTCATAGTAGAATCCTGTTTTCAATCTCACAACTTAGTGTGAACAGCTAGTGCATCTCCTAATTTCACTGATTTACCTGTATCCAGGTTGGAATGTACATGGTTCGATCTTTAGTGGATCAGTAAGTTTCTACCTACGGATAGACGTTTCCTGGAGTTTTTGGTCAGTACACTATAATGAGACTTCTAAACTGTATTATTAGGTAATGCACTTTCTTAAAGAAAGTTTTCTCAAGTATGTGGCACAGTTCTAAAGTTAGAACATAGCCCTTCAAAGAGTAACATTAAAATACTCCTTTATATCACAGAAAGGTGTGTGTGGAGTTTCTGTGATAGTAGAATTTTTCTCTTCCCTCAGAGTTTTATTAATCGGAAAAGAAAAGAAGATGAAGATGTGTCTGAACCACTTATGCAAAAACATGAACAAGAGATTAGACACTTCGGTGAGTGTGCTTTTTCCACGATTTTGCAGCTCAAACCTCTACAGAATTTGTGTAGGTTTACATTTGTTTAGAGTAATCCTTATTATACAGAATGAATGCTAAGAAGTGAAAGATCTTGCTAAGAGACTTCTCAGCTTTATTTTGTCAGAACAGATAATAATTTCAAAGCAAGTAAGGTGTAAACTGTAGAAGCTTGTTAGTTCCTGTGACCAGTAAGAACTTAAAAAATTAAAACCCTCTAATAGTCAAATGAGCTTAAAGCCCTGAAATCTAAACTTCTAACAACTTCTGCTGTTCAGTGGGAAAAGGCAGGGACATTCATGGAAATATGTTGTATGTATAGAATTGCATGGGATTGTCCATAGCTATCACGTTTTAATAAATATTTTTCTGGTGGTTATTAAGCTACAAGGGTAATGACTGATTAAAGGGAAATGCCTGTGAATGCCTACTGATAGTACATGTGCATGAAACTGTGTATTTCTTAAAATTGTATTTAATTATCCACTAGGTGTCACTCTAGCCCTGTCACAATTGTTGAACCTAATTCAGCTCGAAGCTGGTCTTGTAAGCTGACATTTTGATGGTTCTCTGAAGTGCTTTCCATTCTTGGTTACAGGCTGGTTTCAGACTATGGTATAGAGAAACTTTTTAAACTATTTGATGATGTAACTAATATTGTGCCTATGCCGGATTTTTTAATGTGTATGAGAAGTGATTAAAAATAACTTATCAATGATGCCACAGATGCATTAAGATACAGGAAATTGTGACTATCATAATCTACTCTTCCTATCTTTAGAGTCTAATTATTTATTACCTTCTGGTAATGCTTTTTCAGCATTGGTTAGATGTATAAATATAAACCCCAAATTTAGCTGCATGCTGTCATTCTGAAGTTGGTGAATTCCAAAGGGGTTACATATATTGGGATATCAATGCAAGCAATGTCCTTGTTGCATTAAATCATTTATCTATTTAAAATATCTTAAGTATGTTTCTCTTGTTAGGTATGCTGAGCAGATGGGATGATAGTCAAAGATTTCTATCTGATCACCCGTATCTTGTATGTGAAGAAACATCTAAATATCTCATGTTGTGGTGTTTTCATCTAGAAGCTGAGCAGGTAGGAAGAAGATGTTTAAATTGTACAAAAGCATACAGCTTCCCACTTGCACTACAGAAAAGCTGACCAGCTTGATTAGCTGTTTAACTGTTATTCCCACCCTCTCTGTAGAGGTTTGTCACATATATGTCTAGTTATAGGTAATTATCAGTCCCCTTGCTTCTGGGAGCACAAGTTCTCGTACGTTTAGGAAAAAGAAAAAAAGGAAATTATGCAGAATTTTAAAAACATTATCACAGGAAGTACCTTTAAATCTTATCTTTTTCTATTTTTTTTAGAAAACAGCTCTGATGGAGCAAGTAGCACACCAAGCAGTTGTAATGCAGTTTATTATAGAAATTGCCAGAAGCTGCAATGTGGATCCAAGAGGCTGTTTTCGTCTCTTCTTCCAAAATGCCAAAGTAAGTCAACTTGGGTAATGATGGAAGAAACTCTTGATGCTGTACTAGGACATCAGTGTTTTAGAGAAGGTTTCTTCCTAACTGTAAGAGTCTAAATATTTTATTGACTGACTTAGGTTTATGGAAAGTGTTTTGTTAGTAATTCTTTTCTAGACAGAGTATTTTGCTGTAATTCCAGTTCTGAAAAGGGAAGTTTGCTTATCCTAGACAGAAAGCAAGATACAGTGGGGGTACAACCAGGGGTGTTACAGACAAGTAATAACTAACAACAGCAAGCACAGACCACTTTAAGGACTGATTTTTGGCTAACTAGACCTAGGTTTTCACAGTGTACCTGTGCATTTTCATGACTTTCCATTTCCTCTGCAGTTCACAGTGGGGCCCAAAATAGTGTCCCTTTCTCATTAGTGAAATAGAACAGTGCGGAGTATGCAGGAGAAGTGCAGGAAGACTGAAGCTGTGGCTTGCCATAGAGTATATTCAGTTATACACGACTCTGATGGATCTCAACATTGTCTAAAGGAGTTCATTTAAAGCTTGAGTCAACTTGTGCTTTACTTTTCACCACAGTTCTACAGGAAGCACCTATTCCTCTAAGGGTAGTGGCTTCTGAGTTGGAATGAACGAAAGGCGAAAACTAGGTTTATTTTTATGTGTCCTTAGATAAATCAGCTACTTGGCTTCTACATATAAATACTACAGATTGTCTTAAAAAGCATTTTACTCGAAATTTAATTTAAAATTGACTAGCATTATTCTGTTGTTCACATCTGTTACTGCATGAAGGGTGTATTACGCATTACTGCCTTTTTTTTTTTCAGCACTAGGTATGCTTACAACTCAAAAGTAAATCTGGCTGAAGTGCAAGTGCTTCATTTTTCTCTTTACAGACAGGAGAAGGCTATCTGGAGGCTTTTAGAAATGAACTTGAGGAATTCAAGAGAAGAGTGAGAATCTGGTCACAATCACACAGCTTTCAAAATACATTAATACATGATCTCAGTGGTCTTGTGGGAGAGCTGACATCTTTTTCACAGGTAGGTTTATTATTTCTATAAATTTACCTGAAGTAGGATTAAGTCCTGCCTTGAGAAGCTGTACCTTTCTGAAATATAAAGAGGATTATTCCTAGAACTGCTAGTGCTCAGGGTGAAACATGCAGTATTATCAATATGCAAAACAGTTATCAGCTTTCTTCTTGCTGGGATTCAGAAAGCATCCGCGTAATGCCAGTCAGCATATGTTAGCTCAGTGCCCTTACAATTTCATTCTTAAAATAAACACTGCATCATAAAAATGATCAAGTGCTAGAATTATATTCACAGTCTTTACCACAAGCAGTGAAATGAGCTTTCAGTGTAAAATGACGGACGATATTCATGGGACCATGCAGGTAAGTCAAGTCTAAATAAAGTCTCCTCTTGTGATAAAAGGAAACTGAGGGTACTTAAGTCTTCTCTTTCAGTACTAGTGATGGCCATGTTCTGGAATGAAGAAGCGACTTAAAAGAATGTCATAAATTAGGTATTAGGGAAGGAGTCACAACTGAAACTAGTTATTTGAAGTAATTCCATTGAAGTACCTCTCAAGATCCAACAGCTGGAATTTCAGTAAATGTGTCGACAAGTGCTAGAAATATTAAGACCAAATACAAGCTGTGCCAGCAAATTTGAAGAATTCTTGACACAGGGAGCTAATATTTCAGACCTTATTTCTTTACCACTGCAAACTTGTCTCATTTTAAGATAGACAATGTGAAGTGTCCAACTTAAGCTAAAATCTCCCTCTCCTGTTATGGAGAATTAAGCTGTCAATTTTTCATGTGTTGCAGAACACAGGTGATCTACAACGATCCATAAACAAAGATGTCTGCAGTTCAGTGATACAAAGAGATGAAGAAGAATCCAAAATGATGGACATAGTATAGTACTCTTAACACTTGAGGCCAAGTACTATTTTTTTTTTTTCAAAGAAACATGGCTATTTTCTTGACACTTATTTTTCTGGGTACTGCACTTTATTTTTTGGTGTCAGGTTTTTGTTGTTGTTTGGTTTTTGGGGGGAAGGGATTTTGAAGGGTGGGTAATTTGGAAAAACTTGTAATATTGTTTGAAAATGTGCTGCTAGGTTTTTTGGTTGTCCTTGAAAAGCAGGGTTCTCATTGCTGAATGTGAAACTGGATGTGTTTTCTGCTACTAACCTTGCCTTTCATGACTTTAGAAAGTAAAGTATGAAAAAAAAAAGCTGCACAAATACAATGTTTACAAGAAGCGGTAGATTCTTGGTAGAATCTGCTATTGTCTTACTACAGATGTATACCTATGAATATTGGAGATCACAACTGTACTCATGCTCTCTTGCTGACATTATAAGCTCTCAAATTTGAATATCACTAATAGCAATAAATCAGTATCTGGTATCAGTATTTCAGATCTGGATGGATTAGATTAAAACACTGGCTTTCTACCTCTACTAAGGGGATTTAAATGTTACATTGTGATTTCATTAAATGTAACTTGAGTTAGATGTGAGAGCTGGGTTGTATGGTTTCTGGGAGTCTGACTTGTTCATAAAGCTAACTTTTTTTTTTTTTACCAAGTATTATTATGGGGATAAGTATCTGATGGAGGGGATGGAGGGAACTTGAGGTACAAGTATTAAGGTAAGACTTCAGTTTAAATAATAAGCATTGTCACAGTTCATGCTATGACAGCAGTTTTATGCAAAAAGATGTATACTGCAGTCAGAAGACTCCAGTGAAAACAGCTCATCTCAAATAAAGGTATCAGTACACACTCTCAGTCCTTTATTTTTCTGACTGTATGTAAGGTCTGGAAGTTATCTAGATTTCAAAAGTGTGATAGACACTGTCTACCTGCAGTTGCTAATTAAGGCAAAAGTTCTACTGCGATGCAGTGATTTCCAGCTTTGCCTCTAGCGGAGATAGGGAAAAGTGTAAGTCTGCAGTATATACCAGAATACTGGGACAACTGCAGTAGAAAAAGTAGGAACTTCAGATGCACTGACAGAAGCAGCTTTTCATGTGCCTTGTGTTCTCTAGCAGTTGTATTGAGACAGACTGAGGATAGAAGAACAAGCAGCTTCAGCAGTAAAGTAAATGTCTCTTTTTATTAAGTTTGACAAATACTCCAGAGAGGACAAATAAACACTTCTTCCTCATTAATAATTAGTTAATAATTAAGGGAAAATAATAACTTGGGGTTGTTTTATAACTGAATGTTATGTACAAGGGCAGTGTAGCACAGTGACTTGGAATTGCTATCATTAGCAGTAGCCACATTGATCTAGCAACCTGTGATATACTGAGTTATTTCTGAAGTTTATATGGGGCTAAAATTGGATGGTGTGGGAGTAAGTGTCGAATTGTCAGGAGACTTCCTTCCCTTGCATAAAAAGAAGTAAGCAGCACATCAGAATTTCTCATTGTAATTTGGTAGCTACAGTTTTCTAACCATGACTTTTTTTTGAGGAAGTCAGTGTACAACCTCCATATAGGCATTTCTGAAGAGGAAGTACAAGTGGTCAGCCTTTTGGCAAACTTTCTATAAAATTTAAGGAAAGCTACTTGCAGTGATAGCTGCATCCTGTGTTTTTTATTCATAGTAATGGGAAAGCTCTACAAAGTCTACAGTGACCATCTTTCTTGATTCAAATGTGTCTTAATGCTAAGACACATTTAATGCTAAGACACAAAGTAGATGTGGAAATGTAGCCCAAGATAGGTCAGCACCACAGCTCTGAAATTGTTGACAGTCACTGAAAAAGCAGATTGAGACCTGCATTAGTAGGACACAGCTACTTCAGATATTGCCTGGACAGAGCTGTTTGTTCTTCAGGTTTTGAAGACTCTTCTTCAAACTCTTAAACTGGTGAGCATTAAAACAAAAGCTACGAGTGTTCAATGAAAACCAGCAACGTCTCCTGGACTGTTAAAAACGTGTGGCCTACGGAGGTTTGTAACTCCAGTTACCTAGTAAATAAATAAATACACGATCTGATCAGAGACATGAATTAGTAGTATGAACTCAGAAAAACCAATCCAGTTGCTGTGATAATTCCTGGAACTGTCATCAATGAACAGTTCTCTTTCAAAGACAGTAGAAAAGGCAAATTCACTGGTCAAGATCATCTGGCTACAGTCTTACCAGATTACACTTAATTTGTTCAGTATCTGCTGTCATTTTAATAAAACGTCTTGCATAATTGCACAGAGGCTTTTCTAAATGAGTTACACAACACTGAAACTCCATTTTGCATACCTGCAAGATAGCTGCTCTGAGGTCAGAAATATAAACACAGTAATAAGGCCAATAATCCAAGCAAGTGTACGGGTAATTTAAGACCAGCACAATCAGCCAAGACGTGTGCAAGCAAAGCTAAAAGGTGACTGTCTTCCATGGGGTCAACCTCTCTGTGTGCCAGTTCCAGTTCTGATGCGGAATTATTTTTCTGCAGAATGGTAGTCACAGTTCCTCACAGCTTCTGGCTGGCCTCAACTAATCACACATTAAAGAACTGTGGTTTTATGTCCTTACTGCTGTGTACTGCACATCATGATTGAGTAAATGAATCAATGTGCTTTGTAATTATTCTGAAATGTGCTTCCTTTACCAGTCAATATTTGCAAACATAAATACTTTCTGAATAAGAGACACAAGCATATCTGCTTTTGTTAAAGTCAGTTACTATATTATACAAATTAGGTGTATTTAATATAAAAAATTACAGCATTAAAGTCTGAACCACAGGCAACAAAGTTTTATCCTAATGTAAATTAAGGACAGCATTAGACTTTAATAATTGATCAGTCTGGTAAATTACTTAGAGAAATCCTTGACTGCTAAATCTGATGTAATCTGGTGTGAGCTACAACAGATGAGCAGAAGTTAGACCTATTTTCACCTGGGAGTAGTAGCATCTTTCTGGCTCACATCTGGCAACTTGGTTTGGAGGAAGGCATAGATATGTGGCCAGATCGTGTTGGTTTCTGTTCCAGAGAAGGACTTCAATAACCCTTTTTCCCTAAGAAAACATTACAAGAGACAAAATGTTTAATTAAGATTGCCCTGACAGCAGTTTGCAAATGTGCACATGATTTAACACCAAGAACAGCCATAACAGTGAGAATGCATTACTTTGTTCCTCAGTGAGCTACTGACAGCATCAGTTCATAAAACTGACAGCTGTCCACAGAGTACTTAAACCATGAAGGGTAAAAATAAGCAGTAGCAATGCAGTCCTATAGCACATCTATACAGCCGTCATCCACACAACTGTGATGAACCCAGATGTGGTAAAGTTACACTTCAAGGATCAAAGAAGGTGCCTCAGAACAAGCAAGTGAACTAGGCAGAATCGAGTTGCTCTGTAGCTAATTTTATCTGTGTTTTATTATCAGTAATAATATCTTGAGCCTATGCCCTTCTGTGGTGCTTTGAGGCATTTTCACTTCAGAAAACTGCCAAAGTCGGGACAATCAGAAAAACTACTTTGAAACTTAACTACCCCAAAGGTGGAGGTTCTAGTCTTCTGCCCAATATTTTTGGTAGCGCATAATGAAGGGTGGTGGATATGGAGATAGAGGATGGACATTCCCTTCAGGATGTTGTCAGAGAGTGATTTCTTTGTTTAGGCAAGATAAGACTACAATGGTCTACAGAGTGACCTACTATTATCTATATATATTACCAATGTGATATTTGCAGATTTACATTAAGATAAACTTTGTGTGTAATTCTGGCTCTTAACAGAACTAAGAATTTGTTATCATTCCACAGTGCAAGTGGCAGTATTCCCAAATAGCTGCTTACTCCCTGCTAGCTATGCCTGTCACACTCTTCTTCTTAGAACGGCCATTTTTAAATCATCATTCACAGTTTTTCTATTTGTGTATGACTTCTCGACCTCTTGCCCTTGTTAGGAGGGCTTCTACCTGTACATCCAAAAGAGAAACACTTAAGTCTTCCAAACGAAGGAACTGTCTCTCCTACCTCACTAATCACAGCTATGTTCCTTATATTGAATAATGCACAGTGCTCTTTGTAAAACATAATATGGCTGCAGGAAAAGGCTCTTAGAATCATAGAATAGTTATGGTTGGAAAAGACCTTTAGGGTGATCCAAGTCCAACCATCATCTGACTGTACCAGGTCCACTTCTAAACCATGTCCCTGAGCACCATATCTAGATGGCTTTTAAATGTGCAAGGGTGGTGATTCAGCCACTTTCCTGGGCAGCCTGTTCCAGTTTTTGATAACCCTTTCAGTGTAGAAGTTTTTCCTAATATCTAACCTAAACCTACGCTGGCATAACTTGGTGCTATTTCCTCTTGTCCTATCCTCTTAGTCCTATCCAAATCTCTTGAAGAGGTTTCATATAACAATGGAAAACGTACTCATTTTGCTGGGTTGATTTACTGAGCTGATGCACTGCTATTCACACCACTATTCACTGCTGCAGCATCTCTGTGACTGAAGAGATCTGTTCCTCTGCACTAATGTGGAAGAAGCTTTTAGAATGTGAAAACACTACTTGCTGGTAATATTCTACACACAGGTTTTGTTTGTGTGAAAAAAAATTACTACTTACCGATAATACTCTAGAACAGGTTTTGTTTGTGCATCATAAGCTAGCAGCCTCTTGGTAACTGTCTCTGGCTTATCATCATCACGCTGAACAAGTGGCTCCCCAGTGATATCATCGATGCCCTAATCACAGGTAAAAGCAAACACAGGTGTATACTCCTTATTTCTGTTTATTTTGTGTAATTTTCCATTTAAATTATGATCAGTTTCCAGTTAGTCAAGGTGTACATTTGTCTTTATAAAGAGAGAGGCTACTGCCCATATCTTACCTGGAATATAAGTTGTTGACTTTCCAGTAAGACAGTCCATCAGTTAAAAATAC